AGATAATCTAATTTCATGTATACACTTTACAGTAGGGCTTTCTAATAATTTCAAGGGTTATTCACTCAAAAACTTCCCTCTGATTTCCTGAGAAACTAGTCTTTGCAAGGCTATGTGGGAGATGTTGCAAGATACAAAGATTAAATAAATAGGCAGTAAGATCTAGTAGGGAAGAGAATATGTATAGTAATCAGTGTTAAACAAGGTAGAAAGTGACAAAAGCTACGGGGGCGGGTGCGTTACTCAGAGTGCTATAAGTATTCAAAAGAATAATACATTTGAGGTGAACTTTATTCTATTTGGTAAATAAATGGTCATGATTTTTGAAACGATATAATTTCAACAAAGTGATATGGACAGGATTTGAGTATGTGGAGAACAGTATTCCAGTAACAATATAACAAGAAGCATTGATCTAAGAAAGTGCAAACTGGGTACAATTAATAGTGAGTTTGACTGAAGTAAAAGAATGGGAACAGGAAATATTTCAAAGATGGAACTAGCTAATGCTAGATCTTGGATGTGAGACTAAATTTAGACAATTCCAGATTGCTTCTAGAATCATTGCTTTATAAGCAATGAGGAGTCATTGAATGTTTTTTAGCAAAAGGTTGATGTGATCAGATCTATGCTTTTGCAAATCAGACTAGCAGGATATGTAAAATGGATTAGAGAGAGAGCTGGCAGCAATGCTACTGTCATCATCCAGTAGCCTGAACCAGGGTAGGATAGCAGGGGTTTAGTGAGATAGGCATTACATAGAATCAGAAAGTCTTGGTTAAGGCAAGGGAACAGGAGGAATCAAAGATGATGTCACCACTGAAGGTCTAGCTGATAGGGAAAACAAAGAAAATGGGAATTGGAGAAACGATGAAAAGAAAAATGAGTTCAGCCGCATAGCACAGGGAGATCAGTTCGGTGCTTTGTGACCGCCTGGAGGGGTGGGATAGGGAGGGTGGGAGGGAGGGAGACGCAAGAGGAAAGAGATATGGGAACATATGTATATGTATAAATGATTCACTTTGTTGTAAAGCAGAAACTAACACACCATTGTAAAGCAATTATACTCCAATAAAGATGTAAAAAAAAAAGAAAAATGAGTTCAAATCTGGACATATTAAATTTTAGGTACCATGTAAAGATCAAATGGAGCTGCCTTGAAGGCAGTTAGAAATTTAAACCTAAAGCATAGGAGAGAAGGCAGGGCTGGGAACCTGAAATCATCTGATCAATTACGATTATCATTTACTGAGATGCGCTGGACACCACGCTGAGTGCTTTACATGTATTATGTTATTTAAGCCTCACAACAAACATGAAAAGTGGACTTCATTATCCCACTGAGACCTCAGAAGTGTTAGAATTTTCCCAAAGGTTCTGACGCAGTAAAAGAAGAGCTGGGGTTATACGCAAATGTCTAAATTCGAAGCATGTGATTTAGATGTGAAAGTCATGGGTTAACAAGAGAGTAGCTCTGCTTGTCCACCTAGGAGGCTGTCTAGTAGTTGGGGGGTGGGATCCGTACCCACCTTTTCTGGTGGAGGTAGAGAAGGGCCGCAGCACCCTCCACGCAGACTCAAGGCCTTTTCCTCCCTTTCCTTCCTCCTGTCATCTTTTTATTTCAAATGGGAAGAGAAAGGGACCACTGCCATGGGGGATGGTTGGATAGTTATGATAATAAAAGTGGATGCTGCTGTCCCTAAACAAGTCCTGGAAGAAGTCTTAGCCCTGAGTGTTTGAATTCTTTCTAGATATTTTTTAGATAATTTCTTATCTTTCATACCTTTGAATGCTCCTTTAAGTCCAGGCAGGGCAAGAAAAGTGCCACTTTGCAACTTATTATAAGTGTTCATGAATAACGCTCAGTGTCTGGCCCTATGGTGTGTGTCCCTGAAATCCACTGCCACCCTCAGCACTTAAAATGAACCGTCCAAACCAAATTGTATTGCATGTGGTAGTAGTTCATTTCAGGAGCCTGAGAACAAGCCACAGGAATCCAAGTTCCTCTTGTTCTCTCAGTGGACCTGGATCCAATTTAAACAAGATAAAGACAGATTTTTGATGCAGCTAACCTTAACTCACCAACCGACGCTTAGCAAAATCATTGAAAGACCAAAAAATCCCACACTGGTGCAGACCTGTTTGGGAAAAAGGATAACAACACAATCTTTTAAAAAATCCTTCCATTTTGACATGCAAGAATGGTTAAAGAGCCTGTCTGTGATGAAGCTCTACCTGTTTTGAAGTGAACATTAACAGGAAACTAGATTCTCCCTGATACTGTAGCCCCCAGCCCAGCGCTAAGCCCTGCTGGAGTGCAGCCACAGGACAAGCCACAGCAGCTGCAGCTCCTGCACAGACTGACCACACAGGCCGGGCAAAGGCTGACCTCCTCCCCCTGTGCTGCCTTCGTCTCCTAACAATACCTAGTATTTACTGACCTCTGATGTTTCAGGATCTATGTACCTCCTTATCTAACCCTCACAACAACCTATCAAGGCAAGTACTAGTTCATCCTCATTTTATATGTTCATTCTCAAGCATTTCTGGCTTGTGTAGAGGTTAATGTCAGTTACTCATACCTCTGTCCTTTCTGGTTCTAATCAAAAGAGAAGTAATGCAATGAACTGGTAAACAGACAAGGATCACAGTATTTAGCTTTTTTATGGAGGCCTAGTCACTCCCCCCCCCCACTACAGGGTCCCTGAAAGTACTGAATTAAAGAAAGTAATTTGGAATTGAAGCCAAAACAAACGAGTCTTTCTATTACCTCTGGCCAAATCTGAACCTTAGGACCAGCCACTGGAGTGTCCTGGGCTGCAGGTAGACTCTTGGTACAGCTCCAGCTAGCAGTGGTGTGATGGATTGGGGCCCATCTCAAAGAGCCAGATGTCAGCAGAAGAGAGTGCCTGAAAGCACGGGAAAGAAATAGCTTCTAGAAGGCAGGCAGCATGCCAGGTCTGTTTACTCTACAGAGCCCACTGTCTCTTTCTAACAATCTGCCAAGAAGAAAGAGAATACTATTTCTTGCTTTTAAATGTAGCTTTCAAACAGTTTTCAAACATAGCTACTCACTGGAATCACTTGGAAAGGTTTAAAAATATCAGTGACCTAGCTACACCCCAGACGGACTGAACCAGAATCTCTAGCGCACAAGTATTTTCTGAAGTTCTCTAGGCAATTCCAATATGCAGCATAGACTGAGAACCACCCCACGGGGTGGCCAGGTCACTAGGGGTAACCCCATCCACTCTTAATGCAGCCAGTCAAGCACTTCTGAGTGGCTACTTTATGCTGAGCAATATCCTCATTACAACTCTGTGAGGCAGGTATGATAACCATAGCATTTCACAGATGGGAAAAGTGGGACTTGGAAAGGCTTAGTAACAGACCTGGGATTACAAATTTAGTATGCTGTCTCTCCTGAGCTGGATACTGAACCACTATACACTTTGCTGCTTTTTGTGGATGCCATGCTCCCAGCAATCTCTCCAATCAGTTAATACGTTCTTCTTCTTTTGTAGGGAGAAACATACAAGTGTTGGAGAAACTGGAAGAGTTCATTCCAATATGTGCTCCTTAAAGAGGGCATAAACCCCATCTGCGGAAGTTGAAGTAAAAGAATAGGTTTCCAACAACTAACATTTGTAGCGATTTGAAAAACATGTGTGTTACAGGGTAATAAATCAACAGGCAGTGGGGGTTAATTGTCAAGCAACTAAAGTCAAACAGCGATTTTTTAAACAGAATCAGCTGAATAGTTTTGAGCAGCCCTCTTTGGTACCCTGAGACAGAATAGGAAAACTGGATGGCATAGTTCTGCTGTGAAGATAAGACTAAGGACTGTGAAGGAAGGTGCCATGGGAGATTATGCAAACAAGAGACTCAGAGCTGCTTGTGTACGCCCCAGTGACAATACAAGCTGAGCAGAGAAAAACAAGAACACAGGCTAGAAGACTGGGAGGGGCTGGAAGGCTATAGGAGACGTGAGGTAAATTTCACATCCTGAGACAGTCTGAAGATGAAAGGTGACACATGACCCCATAACTCAAATATTTTAAAAGGTGAAGACAAAAGAGAATTCTCTCTCCCCTTATTCCATCTTTTTAGAACTCTACAAAGGTAAAAAGTAATATAAATTGGATCTTGCTTTATACAAGTTTGCTGAAAGTGTGCAAGTGTTAGTATGTCAATGTATTAATTTTGCTAACAGAAATTTTAACACTGAAGAGGATTTAAATCTCTTCTTCTAGAGAGCAAATAAGTACTCTAATTTATTCTTTTCACATAATGAATTTGCAGGACACTGGCATATATCATAATTTGATCCAAGGGAAAAATATATCTCATCACAATAGTGTGTTGGAACACCTGATGAGCAAAAGAAAAAGAATTCCTATACACAGATGTGTTTCCTTGTTTTATTCTCTCAAGTCTGAATCATTACTCCCTTAAGAGAAGAGGGCTGAAAGGAGGACAAGAGACTTCACCCATCTGTGCCAGGACAGAGCTGGGTGGAGCTTGTGAAGTAACAATTTGCATCTTCAACACTATACACATTACCTGCTCCTTTAGCTGCTGGGAAACTTTTCAAAGTGTTGCAACTGGCAAAATCAGGTTAAATCAACAGGTTGTTTTCATTTCTGGTGAAAGCTTACATAAGGGTTAAATGTAAAATGCCCTCACACTGCTTTACAATAATTGAAAATGACTGGATATATATTACATAAGTTTTAACAGTGCTAGTCTGCAATTTAGCGATGTCTCTGGAATGGAAAAACAAACTCTAAATTGATTTGTTGTATGGTCAACTCCTTCTCACTGGGGTCACCAATCAGTTCACCTGTGACTTAACTCTATCCATTGCCTCCGCCCCCCCAACACACACACACACACACACCCCAATACTTAGACCAGGTAAAACTTTTAACACATTACAATTAAATTCCCGAGACCCTAGTATATTATGACCTAGACAGCAGGCACACAATATTAATTGAACAAATAAATTCTGCCTTTTTTATTGTATTAACTTTTACTGTGTTTATGGCTATCCTTAAGAAATTTTCTAAAATGAGTCTTTGCTAAAAAGGATATAGAAGACATTTATTCACATCATGAAATGAGATCAGGAACCAAAAAATTAAGATCTTAAAACATGTTTCTTAAGTTGCCATAAAACTCACATTCTGAAAAATCTGAAAATTATTTTTTTACACTTCGGGGTTGCTTTCAAAGATTACGTGAAAAGAGATTAATAGCACTTTCCTTGCCACTGATTTTATGTATTAATCAAAAATGGTCAAATGTCAGTAATTTCATATGGTTCTACTTGACTAGAATCATTAGACAGATGAAAAACCGTAATATTTACACATCAAGTGAAACAATGCAAGCCTCTGTATTCCAAAAAATCTTTGCAGGAGAGAATGACCTCAGCTACTCTGAAATGTGCTTAAACAACACATACTCAGCACCAGGGCTTATGGTGCTAGCTTTCCATATTTAAGGGTGCTACTGGTGAGGCTCAAAAGTCAGATCCTGACTAAGCTTCCTCAATGCACACTAAACATGGGTGTTAGAGTAAGTCACATGTAATTCTGGGGTGATAAGAGGCAGGGATAAAATAAATAACTTCCAAATCCAAAAATGTCATGTTGGTCAATAATTTTAAAATCTCATTCCCCAAAGTGTGCTGTGTTTTGTTCACTTAGCTTTTCTACCTTCCACAAAAGGTGCTGAAAGGCAATGAAACTTCAAGAGTTAGGAGGAGGTAGAAAACTGAGCAACTAGCCATTTCACAGGCAATAATCGGCTGCAGAGTAATACTGGCTTTGTTGTAAGTCAGAAGCCCACTTGATTAATACACAACATAAACACCCACAGCCATTAAATGACTTTATGAAAAACTAGCCATGTTAAGTATGATACACAATGATCACAAAACTACTTTGAAAACATGCTTTAAAACGCTGAAGCATAAGAAATAGTCTCTTATTTTCTAATGGGGGCAAGGGGTTCCCACATTTTCTGGATGATAAAACAGAGACCCAAACACTGGACATAAAGTAGGCCTATAGAGCAACAATGCATTTCCCACAGAAAATCACAAAATCCTCATTCAGAATCCTGTACTTCTTTATCCTAAGGTACTGAGATTTAATCAACTCAGACACTATACACAATTCTGAGTCTCTTCTCATTTTTTTATTTTTTAAAAAAAGACAGATCTAGGATTTTGTAAGAAATTATTACTAAGTTACATTTTTTTTTAAATCTGTCAAGTACTACAGTAATGGAATAAATAAATAAGATTTTTTAAAGTTCAATGTTTATAGACATATTTATAAAAAAATGACTGAATTAGAAGACATTAAATAATGTTGATACACACCAGGAAGGGATTAGGCAAGGAAAGGCACATCATTTCACCACAAGAAATAAAGACCATAGTTGGAAGTTAATGACCAGCCAAAGCTTTAGATCTTGTGGTAGTTTTCCTAGCTCCAGAGGGTCATTATGGTGTAACCTTCTTTATGGTACTTAGCTGAAATAAACGTATGGCAGTTGGAGAATTTTACTCTGTGACCCCAACGTAGTGTTTAAAAAAAGCACTCTTTTAGTAAGTCTGGTGTGTGAGGGAAGGAACAAAAATCCAAAATGGTCTGGCGATACTAAAAATCCTATTGACGTATTAAGTAGAGTTTTTTTAAAAAAGTAAAATAAGGTTAATCCTCTTCTCTGGCTGAACTGGAATTCTTGCAGTTACAAAGTTAAAATTCCATGTAAACACTTCCTTTCTTGTAAACAGACACAGTACAGATAAACAACTGAAGATATTTCACCTCAGATGAAGTTATATGCCAATATTTAGAGAAAAAGATCTTAGATAATTTCCTTATTTTAGATAGCCTAAGTCCTTGAAAATAGCCTGGCTGACTGGCTATCTACAACAGCAAAGTGAACGTAAGTTTTGACAATGATTGTTTCCCAAACAAACTAGAGTTTCCAGTTAAACAGATACTTTATCCAACAGACCTCAGCAGAACTTGCTTTGGGTCAACCTCCTACTACCAATTTTCTTTCATAAATTTGTGCCAAGAGTTTACCCAATTTTTTTGTCTGGACTCTGAACCTAGATTAGTTTGACTGAAAGATGGAATCATTCAGGTTCCATATAAATTTTAGTGGTATTAAGAAACAACTGTCTGTGTGAATAAATAAAATGGATTTTCAGGATAAAATGGTATACCCATTTAAAAAAGAGTTAAATTAAAAACAACTGGGGGGCAGATAAGGGAAAATATTAATATCAAAAAATCATAAAAATGGCAATTGTAAAGCAGGCAGCTTCCCACTCATGCCACACGATATGCCTTCATTAAGGTGTACTCTTTCCGGTTGGTATGAGCGGCCCAGATGAAGAGAGCAGAAGCCATGAACTGTAAGGGAGCTGAGACGCAAGCCAGGCAGAAGGACCATCCAAATTCGCAAGACACATTCTCAGGCAGCTCTAGTTTCTGGTGGAGTAGTTCAATTCCAGCAACGTAACAGCTCACTGAGCCCAGTGTACACAGACCTTGGAGGAAAATTTAGAAAAAAACAAAAACAAAAAAACATAGCTAGATAAGAGCATGGTAAGAGCTTTCCAGGCAACACAACAGGGCAGTAATATGGGATCCCTAAGGAGACAAGAAGTAGGTAAAACTAAGTGTGATGACAAGACCCACCTGCAAGGAGATGGAGAATGCCTGTGGCAATGGTGGGGTACAAGCTTCGGCAGATACAAGCACAAAGTCCAATCAAAGCCCCAAAGCACATCAAACCTAGACTAACAAAAGGTAAAAGGAACTGGCAACGCCAAAGATCTGATTTTAAAAAAGAGAGAGAGAAAAAAGAAATGTTACCATGATTTCAGTTTTCTCACAATGGCAATTTCTTTCATATTCTAATTAGAACTTTTCTCAAAAAGTGAGAATGAAGCATGCTAACATTGAGGTTTTTTCCTAAAGCACATTATTCAAAACAATGCTAACTTTCTCCTGATAAAAGTAAAAGGACACTAACAATTAACTGTTACTGAGGGCTTCCTATGTGTCAGGCACTGTTCTATACATGCTTTGTGTATTAAACCCCCAAAATCTCTATGAAGTAGGTACTATTACTATAATCTCCATTTTATAAATGAGGAAACTGAAACAGGAGGTATAAATAACTTGTACAAGGTAACACAATAAGTGGTAGAACCAGATTTGAAGCAAAACATTCTGGTTCTACATACAAACAAATTTAAGTCCTCATAGGATCTTGAGACAGGAATAACAAGCAAATGAATAGAGATTATAAAAGACCTGTTAAACAAATATACATAAAGCACAAAGCAGAGGATCTGGTATATACCAGGCACTCAATAAATCGCAGTTTTAATTACCATAAATTCCCTCAACAACATGGGAAAAAAAGCTGATGACTTTACAAAGCATCCCATTACATTTTCAAATTATTTTAATTATTATCAATGTAGTAACATCAACTCTAAACCAAACTTTACCTTTTACTGCTAGTTTTACTTTCTGGAACTATATAAACGTCTTTTCTCTAACTTCCCTTCAAACTCTGTTAGTAATAAACTTCTTCCTATGCATTTACAATGCAAAATTGAATACTTGTCATTTATTCAATGTTCCTTCTCATGACGTGGTCATTCTTCCAGGCAAGCTCCAGTAACTCTCTATATAGCCTAGAAACTAGGTCCAAATATGAAGACAGCATTTCCTAGGCCGCCTGACCATCAAGGAATAGAATGCTCGTAATAATTACTTTCATTTGTTTTTGACATCTACACCTTGGTTACTACCACCTAAGACTGGATCAATACTTCAGCAGGCCTGATACTTGTTGACTCATATAAAGCCTGCAGTCAACTTTTTTCACATATCCCGATCTGAACTCAGATAAATGAAGTGTTTAACTTAAATATAAAAATGTATTATTTATCCCTGTTAAACTTCCTCTTTAAATGGGCCCATTAATAACATCTTTTGGATGGTCTGGATTCTGTCACCCAATGTATTAGCTGCTCAACTTCATAGCTGTGATTTGGTAAGTATGTATCTAACTTCTAAAATGTGTTATCAACAGAACAGAGTTTGTTGGGATAATGTTGAAGACCTTATTTCAAGTTGACACAATGTACAATGTCATCCTGTTCCAAAAAGAGTTCAACAAAAGGGAAATAAAATTATTTTCTTTTTTTCCCACTTGTCTTGCTGCGTTCAAACTACTCACAGGTCCGAAGCAGATCGATCCCACTATTGTGGTTTCCAGGATCAACAAATTTCTCCTCAAACTGCTCATTTAGCGTGAAACTGATACATTTTGTGACCGTATCAAATGACTCTGGAACGAGAATAACAATGATTGCTTGTTTTAATTTTAAACATTTAACAGAAATCTCTTTTAGTAATTATTCTCTGAAATAAAAAGTGATATGGAAAAATGTTCTCAGGGGAGACAGCAACCTCTTTGGTCCTGAGTGACACACAGGCTTCACCAATGCCCAAAGGACCAACGGTTCTCAGCAGCAGGCTTAAGACATGGGTTCAGGGAGGAGCAGTAAAATGAATTAGAATAGGTAGTAAGAAGACTAGGAAGAAGCAGTGGACAAAGGAACTTTGATCTTCTCCCCCAAACCTACTCCATCAGCCATGTTCCCCATTTCAGGTAATGACAATTCCATTCTTCTTGTTCCTCAGACCAGAAACTTTATAGTCATTCTTGCCCATATGCATTCCATCAGGAAATCCCAGAGGCTCTACCTTCAAAATATATCCAGAATCAGGCACTGCTCAGTACTACCATCCTGGTCTTGAGTCATAATCGTCTCTCACCTGAATTGGTGCAATAGCCTCCTAAGTCTCCTGGCTTCTGTCTTGGCCAGCCACCTGTCTGTTTTCAGCACATCTTCCTAGGTGACCAGATTATCTTTCCTCTGCACAAAGCTCCCCAGTGGCTCCATCACACTCAGAGTAAAAACCAAAGCCCTCATCACACCTAGAGAATCCTGCGTGATTTGCCCTACTCCCTCTCCCAGGATGTGTCTCTGACACATACCCAACTCTTCCCCCAGCCCCCTCCTTCCAGCCCAGGGAATTCCTTGCTGGTTCTGGAATACTTCAAGCATGCTCCCACCACAGGGCCCTTGCAGTTGTTCCTTCCAACCTAAATGATTCTCCCTGCCTCCACAACTACCCATATAGTCAACTCCTTCACCTTTATCAAGTCTTTCCTCAAGTGGTATTTTCTTGTTGCAGCGTATCTTGCCTTTACTATTCCATAGCATAACTTATGCCCACCAACATCCCCTTCCCTATGTATTTCCAAACCCCCTTTATTGTGCTGTATTTTTCATAGCACATGTCATCTTCTACTATCTTATTACTTATCCTGTTTATACTATTATACTTATTGTTTATTGCCTGTCAGTGCTTATTAGAATGTTAGCTCCCCTCGGGGGCTTCCCTGGTAGCGCAGTGGTTGAGAATCTGCCTGCCAATTCAGGGGACACGGGTTCGAGCCCTGGTCTGGGAAGATCCCACATGCCGCGGAGCAACTGGGCCCGTGAGCCACACCTACTGAGCCTGCGCGTCTGGAGCCTGTGCTCCGCAACAAGAGAGCCCGCGACAGTGAGAGGCCCGCGCACTGCAATGAAGACTGGCCCCCGCTCGCCGCAACTAGAGAAAGCCCTCGCACAGAAACGAAGACCCAACACAGCCAAAAATAAATTAATTAATTAATAAATAAAATTTTTTAAAAAAGCAGCAGAGCAATAGTGTTAACTGGAGCTTTAAAAAAAGAATATTAGCTCCCCAGGAGTAGGGATTTTTATTTGTTTTTTCCCCTAATGTACTCTAAGATCCTAGGCCCTGGAACATGAAAGAATGCACTAAATATTTGTTGACTGAATAATAAACGATTGCTAAGATTCAAATATCAAGTGCTCCTATGCTCTCATAAATAGAATTGAACATTTAAAATAAAATTTAACCAACTTTCACCTCTTTCCAAACTACTTTCTTTTTTCCATACAAAATCACAACTATCAGCCTTCCGATGTATGGTAACTCAAGCCCGTTGTGCTGTGATTTGAATATAGTGCTTCCCACCAAGAGCCCAACAGAAGTAGTCATAAACAGAAACAATTTATAAAGCTGTTCCTTACAAAGAACTCTAAAGCTTCCATCTTAATAACTGGAAATTAAAAATTTTAAATGTTAAGAATGCTTACAAAATAAACCTGAGAGGCAGTTTCTTAGATTTTTTTTTTTTTTTTTACTTCTGTAATGGATATTTTTAACCTAAAAACTCCACCAAGATTGTTGTAAAACAGTCTCAAATATGCAGACTTAAACACAGAACTGGTCGAATTATACCCTCTAAGATTTAGTGGGCAAATGATAATATCAACTAAAACACAGCTACATATAAAATGACTATCAATTCATATGTGTTGACTTCGTTTTGGATACTAGTCCTTTTTACCAGTTACTAAGTATTTGAAATCTTCCAGTGTTCTTTTCCAATTATTTTCTCATGACATGTGAGTTTAATACAAATATTTTAATGAGTGGGTAAATAAGTACAAAGATTTACAATGATTTTCCCAAGATAAGGACAGTTACTCATCCAACCAATATTAATGAGTATGATGGTAATTCATGGAAGCTGGGGAGGGAAGTGACGGGGAGAAAAGAAATACATAAGATTTCTTTTTTTGGGGAGAGAAAGAACCCACAAACCTGCTTATACATAACTGGGCCATCATCACATCACTTTCTCTATTATAGAGTAGGTAAAGGAGACAAAAGTTAAAATAAGAGAAATACCTGTCCTTTCTGGTGGACTATACCAGTATGTGTTTTGGGGTATAGTGATACACCGTCTCCACAATCCCACTGTGCCGTTATATCGGAAAAGTGCATCATTATAAGTCTTTTCATCTGCCTCATCACTAGCAAAGTCAGTCCAGATACTTTTGTTCAAATCGCTGGAATTTTCTTGAACTGGACTTCGATACTCATACCAGAAGTCTGTGCCAATTGAGGCCGCCATGTAGATGGTAGAAATGAGGCTAAGCACACAAGCAATTACAAATGCTGTAGCAAAACGGTTATCCATTCTGGCATTCAGACTGCTCTGTTTAAAAGTTGAAGAAAGAACAAAAGTTAGACTTCAAGGACAAACACAGATTTTGAAAGGAATTATGTCAAAATCACCCTTTACCCTATTCCCCCTCCCAAGGCTCTTTAAAGTAATGTATAATCATTAATGAATTTAAAAAAAAAAAGGAAGCAAGCATTTTTTAATTAAGTTCAAAACAAAACTCATTATCACAAAAGTACTTATTGAATGCTCACATACCCAGGATGCTACGGAGACAGAGGTCTTGTTCTCTAGTCTATCACCTGCACACTAAAACAGACAACACTGAAATGGACATACACATTACAGATACAAACAGTAGACATGCCCAGAGTCAGCAATGTACCTTGCATACATTTTTAATGACAGACTGCAGAGCATTAAGTGTTCTGGGTCTGAGTGTGAAAAAGGCATAGGAAAAGGAAGCAGAGGAAATCGGCTCCTCCCAGTTTCCTCTGCATAGGGAAACCTTCTAAAACAAGGTTACGAGTAAGGAGCTATTTAAAAGACAGGTGAAAATGTTTGTTAACCCAGAAAGAAAGGTTGTTCCAGGCGCACGGCATAGCAAAGAGAATAACAACATATAATAATGCTAGATTCTAATCTGCCCCTAATCCATTAAAGCTAAGCCAGGCTCTTTTACGCTGCCAAAGTCTTCACTCCCATCTACTCTACCCATTCTTTATACTTCTGAACCTCCTCATCTGCAAACTAAATGATCCCTCCTCAGCCAGAAAGAAAACTCTGGATTAGGCAAATATTAACACTCCCAAGGCGTGGACAGGGCTCACTGGCAGTAGTAAATGGCCGCAGTTAAATGACTCAAGGCGGATCAAGCTTAGTCAAATACTGCAAGTATATACCATGACCGCGCCAAACACCTTAAAAAGGAGCACGAAAACGGGCTCGCAAACTGGGGTTGCTGAGTTTGGGAAATGGCAAGTGACTCAGGAGAGATCAGAGCAATTACAATAATTAACGATAACTCCAGAAGTTGGGTTTGTATTTTTATTCTTTTTAATCCTTTTTCCTCCCGGTGGCTCTCAAATGACCTTAAAAGGTCCCGAGCACCGGGAGCGGCGCTTCGCCCAGGCCGGACGCCTGGCGCTGTCACCTCGCGGGGCGCACCCTGAGGCCGGGGGTGGTCGAGACCAGCCGGAGCTGCAGCGGGGCAGCCCTCCGCGGTCCCCGGCCAGGGGCCTCAGGTACCCGAGCAGGCCCCTCCCCGGACCACTCGGCCAAGAGAAAAGCCCCGCCCCAGGCCCCCGCGCAGAACCCGCACAGCCCCGGCCGCGCCCGGGGAGGGGGCCCCTCTTCAAACGGATGGAAACACCGAACGGCTACGCGACCCCCGCCCGGCGACGTCGGGCCCGCTCACTCACCGCCCATCCTCCTGCTCCGCCAGCTTCACCCTCAAGCTCAAACCACAGCACCCTACTCTCCCCGCGCCTTCTCTGACGCACTTCCCTGCAGAGCCCGCCCCCTCCATAACTCCTGCGCCTCCGCCTCCTCCCCGAGCCCGGCCTGGCCCCGGCGCCGAGGGGGCTTGTGGGAGTTGTAGGAGGGACAGAGGAAAAGCTGCGAGAGGCGGTGGACGGCATGCTCGGTGCCGCGCGGCACATTGTGGGAGATGTAGTTCCGCTCCCTAGGTGCGCAAAAGGGAAGTCTGAGCAGATGGATTCTTAGTATTTTACTAAGGAAGGGACGGAGGTCCGCCGAGTAAGGCGACCTATTTCCGGTCACTACTAGTCATTAATTGTGACGAATATGACTCAGATTTTTCCACTCCTGTGCTATCCCTACCACCACCCTGCTTATGAACAACAATGAGATTGTACTTTTAAAATACTAACCCATTGATTTTTCTCTCCCACAACCTCACTCCCATTGCAGCAGATAGTCTTTCTGGTTTTACTGTTTACGTTTAGACTAAGAAGGATGTAACCTGACAGAAGGTATCCAGCTAGAATGTAATGACATTCTTCGGGTTTCAGATAGTTTTTGTTTGTGGCTGCTTTCTCTTTGTGGCAAGTGATATTAGTTTTCTCTTTTTTGCAGTCAATAAAAATAAAATAAATTACAAAATAATAATTTATTTTTAAAATAAATTACAATTTGTTGAATAAAAATATTAAAATAAATTAATTTTAAAATAAATTACAATTTGTTGAAGAAAAATATTAAGTTAATACTGAGGGTCCCAGATATGTCAAAAAAGTGAATAAAAAAATTCATGTAGTATGAAAAAGACTGAAATTTGGAGAATATTGCCTTAAGCAGATAAGGTCATGGACAACCTCAGAGATTGCAGATGACTGTATGGCACAGAGGCAACAAAATGATTCTAAGCCTTCAAGTACTGCATAGAAATCCACAGACAGGAAGCAGGGACATCTTTTTAGTGATGTGTGTGGACTCATGAATGTGCTCTGAGAACAGCAAATGATGGGTTTCTCAGCAGATACCTACAGAGGCAGCCAACTGAAGGAGCAGAGGGGCTCTCAAACCCTTCCTCGTCCCCCAAATGCCTTAGAATTTGGCCACTGCACAGGAGAAAGGTGGGAGGCCCAAGTGGATACCAAATTTCTACCCCCCTGACAGACTGAAGGCATATCATTTGTTTTTCTACTTTTAGCTATAGTTCTTTTGCCTGAATGGCTGAACTGATATTCACATCCAGTACCTAATTAAAATAAAGTAATAGCCGAATATAATATTCAAATATGACTGAATTTTCATGTAGAATATCTGGTCATAGGAGAAGTTTGTCAGAGACACCAACTAGAGAAAATGGAGGAGGTGCCCAGGCAAATTGTTAATATGCAGTAAGACTCCTCAATGCATGTATTCACCAGGAAATGTTTTCATCCATTGGCTTCCTTAGAAATCCCCTACCTTCTCTCTCCAGTGGAGTGGAACTCTCTCTCCAGTGAAGTCACATGGTAAATAAAACCAGGTTAAAGAGAAGTTTAAAAAAGGAAGAGGAAGACAGCACCTCAGTTCACAAACAAGGGAACTGAGCCCAGGGAATAACTGACTTCAAGCTTGAATACTGGGGCGAGCTGCCTAGCTTTGTGACGTTAGACAATTTACTTAGCCTCTTTTAAGTCTCAGTTTACTTTTCTCTTAATTATGATGTTGACAGTAGCACCTATCCTGCGTGATCATTGTAAGGATTAAATGAGAAAATACACATAAAATACCCAGCCCAGAGCCTGGAGCGTAGTAAGCAATTGTTAAATTATTAGTGTTTGCAAATATTTGTTCAACACCTGTAATCTTTGAGTAGGATCAGTACTGTATAAACACCTTTTTAAAGCTCTTAATTCCCCTGGAGGCTGGAAGTAAGCCATTTATCTTGGTCCCTGCTCACATCAGGAGGTTTATGAACCTCTGGACTAACTGCCAAATGACTAGGAAAGACTTTCCAGGACCAGATTTCAGGCATCCTTACTTACCTCCGCTCAGGAGATTCCCAGGCTGGGCTCATAGCATATGTAAGTCCTCATGATTCAGAAGATGGATGTTCCTGGGGAGACCTGCAAACAACGATGACACTTCCATCCATTAAGTCTGCAGAATGCCTAGGAAACGCACAAGACACATTTCAATCAGCAATTTGGTATGGACCTGGGAGTGTCTGCATGCCTGAGGTTGTGACCATCCGGCCCACTCAGCCCAGGGGACGTGAACCATCTCGTCACACCCAGCATCACTAAGCACACAACGGTATTTCTGATTTATCTCTACATCTTGGGTGTTTCTGTCTTCTATTTGTGCAGCTGGTCGTGTGGATAGGCAAAATAAATCCTTAATGAATTAGTGGAGTTAAATGTCTGTTTCCATTTCTTACTGCACTGTTTGGGAAACAGTAGCTGCCTGACATATTTTCACAAATATTAAAGATGATTTAGTACAACCAAATACAGATTACAAAATTTAGATTTAAAGGCAAAGTTGAACTAGACCTCTGGCTTAATTTGTTAAGGATGGTTCTAGTTTCAGCAAGAAGGTGTTATAATTACACTATACTTTAAATAAACCAAATAACTGAAAATCTAGATATGCAGGTATTATAACTTGTTTATATTATGTGCTTACAAAACAACTCTTTATGCGAGAATTCCCTTCAATACCAAATTCCCTAATATATTTACATATTATTTTTAATTGTACTTTTTTAGAAATTAAAAATTATGTTTAGCAAGATATATCTACATTATATTTTTCTCATATAGCTTTGTTTTTGTTTTGTTTTGTTTTTTTTGCGGTACGCGGGCCTCTCACTGCTGTGGCCTCCCCCGCCGCGGAGCACAGGTTTCGGACGTGCAGGCCCAGCGGCCATGGCCCACGGGCCCAGCCGCTCCGCGGCACGTGGGATCCTCCCAGACCGGGACACGAACCTGTGACCCCTGCATCGGCAGGCAGACTCTCAACCACTGCGCCACCAGGGAAGCCCCAAAGTGATTCTTAAACACACTAAAGTTTAGAGTCCCTGTTCTAATTTATACATCTTAACCAACTTTATACATTATGCTTCGTTATTATTTTGGCTAACTTTTAAAAAAGTTTAAAAATCACCTCTAAATTTGAACTTCTTAGAAGTCTTCTGGCCTGGATCTCAGAAATTTTTAGGAATTAATTTAGACTTCTGAAACCTCTCTTATTCTGTGTCCCAATTCCTGAGATACGTTCAGAATTGGCTCAAATGTTGAAAATGAGGAGAGAGTAAGTTTTTGTCCACTGAGGCATCTGCTCAAGTGGATATACTATCATCATTCAGCCAAAGCTGTGACTACAAGCCCCTGCTGCACAGGTGGATTGAAGGTTTTGTGTGAATACAGCCACCCCAACTAGCACTATGATATATTACTTCTTTGTTTTCTCTATCAACCACTCTCACCCCATATTAGAAAGGATTCATTAGATTAGGTAGCAGATAGCACAGCAGAAAGAAACCTCTGTTCGTACATGGTCTACTGATATGTCCCAGAATAAAAGGCAAAGATCATGAAGCAAACTATATGTTTTTCATAAATCTTATCAATCAGAGTGATTATATATTCATTTGTTAGAAACACTCTTACTTGAGTATCATAACATGTATAACCATTTAAATAGTCCAGTTTAAGAGCTCTGTTTATAGTCTAAGAGTTAGTGATTTTGTTTTTATTCTGACAGTAACTTGGAGAGTTTAGTGCAATATATCATGCCAAATTAAGTGGAACCTATTTGCTATTATCAGTGTTCTCCCCCACTTTATTTGTTGGATTATTTCCCTTGTTACCTCATATTTATGTAAACAGCAGTGATATTAGTATTTTAGGCACACTTCAGGCTTCTTCATAATAGTTGATTTCATCTGGATTTACGTGGTGTACAGCAAAAATTGTATTTATTTATATTGGTGTCCCTCATACCCAGCACAGTGTCTGGCATACAATAGGTGGTCAGTGTACCCAGCACAGTGTCTGTCATACAATAGGTGATCAATAAATGTTTGTAGATCTGGACTGAATTATGCTTGAGTTTTGAGCCATTTGCAATGAATAAGGACTTTTCACAAACTTCTCCAACAGCTTCTATTTTCCATGATTACTGTTTTTTTTGAAACAGCAAAGGTCTGAGTTGCTGCATCCTTTCTAATCAGAATGCATATAGCCTTCCTCCTTTTTCTTTGTCTATCTGCATTTCCCACTATCTCTGTCTTCTTGCATATTGCCTTGGCTGGAGGTGTAGGATACATGAATTCCCCAACAAAACTTTAATGCTGTGGACCTATGACAACCATATTTCGGAGCTACATTATTCTTCTTCCAGCAGAAGTATAAGTCATAAAATTTTAGAGATTTAAGTGACATTAGTGATCATCTAGTACAACCATTTTACTAATGAGGACACTGGGGCCCAGAAAAAAGTCATCTACCAAAGATTCACATTGATGATTTTAAAATAAAGGACAATTTAAATTTAAAGTTCTCATCTATGTATGGTCCATTCTCTGTCTTTCGGAAGCATGGACATCTGAACAACTATAGTTTGTTGCTCTGTGTAACATTTGACAGGAATTACTAAAAGGAAAGAGC